GTGAGACACCAAAACTTGTCCAGTTTCCACGCGGCTCAGCCTCCCCCCCCCCGCGCCCCCGTTTCCAAGGGGGGAGAGTGGGAGGAATGAAGACGCTGTTAGCGCCGGGAGCCTCAGGGTCTGGGGAGGAGGCCCCGCCACTGTGTTTCCCCCACCGACGCAGGGGCGCAGTCCGTTTCACTAGGGGTTCCATCCCATAGGTGGCTCCCTGGAAAGCAGGGGCGGACGGGTGACAAGTCGCCGGGGACAGCGAGGGAAGCAGCGAGGCAGAAAGACTCGGCTGTTCCTTGGAGCGACTCCCGCCCGATGCCACAGCTTCTCCTGGGCCTCCGCTGGCCTCTCGGCCCCTCCCCCCATCGGCCCTTCCCTTGGCGGCCCCCCAATTCCCTTCACCCGGTGCAGCCAGAGCCAGTGCCCCGCGTCTCCCCCCCCGGCCGCCCAGACCGTCCTCCGAGCTCACCTGTCCTTCGGCAGCCGCGACGCACGGGAGATGTGCGCCCGGGGCGTCCGCGGGGCCGGGGCGCACGAGTCACCGCCGGGGGTCCGCCGGGGCCATACCCTTCCCGGAGCCGGGGCGAGGGGACGCGGCTTCCCAGCGCGGCGCGGCGCGGCGAGCCGGCGGCCTTTTATTCCCGTCGCCGAGAGGCTTGCAGAGTCCACGCCTCGGCCCACCCCCACCCTGCCCCACCCCGGGCGACGGGCCCGAGCCCCAGGACCCTGGCCGCGCCGCTGTGCGCTCAGCCCTGCTCCCGCCTGTGCATCGCGCCTCGTCCCGGGGGGCACGCCGCGCCCACTCCCGCGGGAAGCTCGCACCGCTCGCTGCGGGTCGGAGAGAAAGTCCTGGGACCCGAGTGGAGGGGGGTGGGGGGCGCGCAGCAGGCGCTGCGAGCTGCAGAGCCCGCGCTCGGGGCGCCCTTGCCAGCCCCGCTGGAGACGGTCTCTTTCCTTCCGGGAAGGGTGCAGGAGCGGGGCTTGCGCGCCCCTAGGCGGGACGCAGGGTCCTCTGGCAGCGCCTCGGAACCCGTGTGCAGGCCGGAGCCGGCTGCGCCCCACCGGCGTCCCCCGAGCTGCTGCGGGCCTTGCTGCAACGTGAGACCCACGGACACGCCCTCCCGCCTCTCCTGTGGCTCCTGGCGGCCGGCTTCCCTGCGGCTGCCAGAGTCCTCCTGCCAAAAAGGTGGAACGGCTCTCCTCCCGCTTGGGGAGCCTGCGGCAGCAGGGAATTTGGGGGGCCTCAGGAGCAGGGCCAGCAGAATGAACTTGGGGGGGCCTCAGGAGCAGGGCCAGCACAAGGAATTTGGGGGAGCTTGTGGGAATTTGGGGAGCCTGCAGGACCAGCGCAGAGAATTTCAGGGAGCCTGCAAGGGCAGGGCCTGCACAGGGAATTTGGGGAGACTGTGGGAGCAGGACTAGCACAGGGAATTTGGGGAGCCTGTGGGAGCAGGGCCAGCACAGGGAATTTGGGGAGACTGTGGGAGCAGGGCCAGCACAGGGAATTTGGGGAGCGTAATAGAACTAACTGGGGGAAGTGGCCATGAGCAACCTGGAGAAGGCAGGAAACAGAGGCTGGGAGGATGGTGTGTTGCGAACCCAGAAAGGGAGCGAAGACAAGGAGGCCATCTGGCCTCCAGGAGGAATCAGAGCTGAGAACGGTAGGCAGGGGTCAGGTGGGGACAGCCATCAGCAGAGCCCACCTGGGGCTAAAGGACAGAGCCACTGTGAAGAGTGAAAACGGGTGTCCGAGCACCAGCATTCAGGCGAGGATGGTGCCGGGCTCCTGACGGAGGCTGTTGCTCGCTCAGGCCTCTGCAGGGGCTGTTAGGAAGTGGCCGCAAACAGGCTCTGACATGAGTTCCTTCCCACGCATGGAGTCCAGGCTGCCTCGGTTTCTCCTAGGGAGTGTGTCCAGGCATGGCTCCCTGCCCCGGGCCAGGGTGCTGTCCCCGGGGTACATCACCCATAGGTGTGGGTTCATTAATGGGTCCATTTCACTTCTTCGATAGCTTTACTTCTCAATTGTGTGTTGACATATTTCCAGGAGCTAGGTTCAGGTCTTCACTTTCTTGGAAAATCCCAAACCCATTGATTAAAAATGAACAAAACAAAAACTGTTCCCAGTCCATCTCCTTATCCTCCTTAATGGCCATGTCAGTCATCCAGCAACTCAACTAAACTGGGAACTCACATCATCATCCTCCGCATGTCTCTCCTTCAGGACACTGAAGTCAACTGGTGACCAGCTTAGCAAATTCTGATTCCTAAGAATTGTGGGACCCCGTAACCTCCCCCTGTCTCACTGTCTTAGTAAGAACTCATGTCTCAGCTCCCGCCAGTCACTGGTTCCCCAATTCCTTCTTTACTCAACCTGCAGTGGGCCACCAAAGCTTGGAGGGGCGCCGTCACCATCAAAACAGGTCCTGACATTGTTCCGGGTGGTTCTGACGTTGTCCTGGGTGGCACATGACCTTCCAGAGTCGTCCCAGTCTATCCCAGGAATAGTGCATCTGCTGACATGCCTGGCATCTTGAGGTGCTGGTTTTAGCCTAGTCTTCGCCCCTCCCCCACTGCTCCTTGGCAATCTCCTCCTCAGCGTCCATCTCACAGCATTTCCCAACAGCCCCGCTCATCCCCAGGACCCTTGCTCTGCATTATGGCCAATTGCTTCCCTTGTCTAATTACATGGTAACTTTTTGAAATCGAAACACTAACACGGTGCTTAGCATACACTAGGTGCTCAATTAAATGCATGACTGAATGAACGACTGAAGTGCAATTCTATTAAGAAATGGGTAAACTTAAAAAGCCACAGCCCTTAGCTTCTATGACAAATCCATGTATACAGCATTATGGATGCTCAGTGATTCAGTGATTTTTTTAAAAAAAAATCAATATTTTGGTGTGTGC